AAAATCCACATCATTCATTTCCAAATCATCCGCTGATTGGGCTTTTCTCTAGGGTGTGCCTTAGGTACCTGGGCCCCGGTTGCCAGTTCCGCCACCTTGTGGTGGTCCCGTCGCCGCCCGTCGCCGCCCCTCGCTTGGGCCCGATGGCCGGTTCCGCCGCCTTGTGGGGGCCACGTCGCCGCCCCTCGTCCGGGCCTCGTTGCTGGCTCCGCCGCCTCCTGGTGGCCCCATCTCAGAGCGTGAAATACCTACCCCGCTTTCGCTTCCAGGCAAAAACAATTCATACCACGCGCCTCCTCGTCAAGCGGCCTAACCAGTACAGGCTGCAATTTGGCATCGTTTGGTATCTCTTGGAAGCGAGGGTGGTCAAAAGCGAGGTAGGCTTGTTTTCCCCCTACCATCGCCGCCCGTCGTCGCGTACCACATAGGTTGCCCAACATAGATTGCGTCACATAGTTCACGCAACACACACTGTGCCACAGAGAGTGCTCACCATGGCTTGCGGCTCACACCACGCGCAGCTCAGATGCTGCACCACAAACACGCATCGTGCACTGCAAAATTTGCGCAACCTTCATTTTTCCTTTCTGAAAGAATAATCGGGTCGACCCCTCTCCACCCCAGATTTAATGGGCCCCTTTTTCGCATTACATGTTACATGTGTTTCTGCTCCTTCGTCCACCTTCAATGCGAATTCATATCAGCCCAGCCAGACCAGTATCCCGCCCCCTCATCCTTTGCAAATAGTGTTTTGCGCGCGCACTCGTTGATAACAAATCATCAGTTTTCAATAATCCCTTGCAGAAATCGGCACGAAGTGCACGCGCGCGTCGTCGCGCGCGCATGCCGAAATCCTTCAAATGTTTTCGATGTCGTAAGGATTTCAAAATCGAGCGCCCCAAAAGATATAAGAACAGTTTCTCAACACGGATTGTCGAAACAACTTGCGCTCGGGCTTTCGCGGATGCTTAAGAAAACCATCGGCTTCTCAACATTTCAAAACATGCTACCCAACGGGCCTCTCGAGCGCGCATGTCGAGATCATTCGAACACCCTTGCGCGCCTGCTGTCGCAATAATCCCTTGCCACAACTGGGACGAAGTGTCCACGCGCGCGTCGTCGCGTTCGTATGCCAGAATGTTCCAAAACCACATGAGGTTTCGTAAGGATTTAAACATCGAGGGTCGCGAAAATATATACGACACATGGTGTTGCAACACATGTTCTTTTTCAAGGAAACCTGCGCTCGCGGTCTCGCGAATTCTTAATGATACCACCGGTTTGCCAACATTATCAATAAACATTTTGCCAAACGGGCCTTTCGCGCCGCATGTCGAAATCACTCGAACGCCATTGTGCGCTTGCTGGGGGTGGGGGGGGCACGATCCGTGTCAAATTATTCCATGCGGGCCACTCGCGCGTCGGCCGCGCGCATGTCGAACTCCTTCCAAAACCTTCATCACCGACGCGAGGACGCCGTCATCGTCGTCGGCGTGATCAGCATCGGCGCCGTCACTGGCCGTGCCATCGTCTTTGTCATCATCGTCACTAGCGTCGCTATCATCATTATCGCATCTACCGTGGTCGACGTTGCCATGATTTCGCGCCCGCCCACGTTGCCGATTCGCGTTGAAGTGCCCGGTGCCCAGTGGTCAGCGCCACCGCGGCCGCGGCGAGTTGCGGGTGGATGTGTGGGATGATAGAAATATTCGGATAAAGTTCAAGAATCCCTTGCAACAGATGGTCCGAAGTGCACACACGCACGTTGTCGCGTGCGCGTATGGGAATCCTTCAAAAACCTTTGATGTCGTAAGGATATCAAATCGAGTGCCTCCAAAACACTTACACACCACATGGTTCGCAACCGTAAGTTCCAGAAACATGTTGCGCTCGCGTTCTTGTGAACTCTCAAGAAACCGTCGTGTTTCAACATTTTCATAACTTGCTACCAAGCGGGCCTGTCGCGCGCGCATGTCGGAATCGCTGAAGCGCCCTTGCGCGCGTGCTGTCGCAAGAATATCTTGCAAAAAACGGGGCGAAGTGCACACGCGCGCGTCGTCGCGCGCGCATGGCCCAACATGTTTTGAAGCCTTAGGTTTCGCACGGCATTTCTTATCGAGTGTCCCGAAAACATGTAACAACAGTGCGCTTGTTCTCTTGCGGGTTGTGAAGAAGTCATAGGCTGTCAACATGCTCATTACATTCGGCCAGACGGGCCCGTCGCGCCGCACGTCGAAATCATTCGCACGCCCTTGCGCGCGTGCTGGTGGGGGAGCACGACCCGTGTCAAATCATACCATGCGGGCCATTTTCGCGCGCGGGCCGCGCGCGCATGTCGAACTCCCTTCAAAACCTTCATCACCAACGCGAAGACGCCGTCATCATCGTCGGCGTGATCACCATCGGCGCCGTCACTGGCCGTGCCGTCGTCTTGTGCCATCATCGTCACTAGCGCTGCTACCAGCATCATCGCGTCTACCGTTGTCGACGTTGCCATGATACCGAACCCTCCCAAGTCGCCGAGTCGCACTGAAGTGCCCGCTGGGAAATGCCCAGCGGTCAGCGCACTGCGGGCGCGTCGGTCGCGCCAGATTAGCTGACCGCCGCGCGCGCGAGCATGCGCGCTAGCGCGGCCGCAGAAATGCACCAGCCAAGCCCATGCACTCGTCGCAATCGCCGCAGCATGGGTTTTGCAAACCAGGATGCGGGTGTGTGTGTGTGTGGGATGATTGTGCGAGCAGTGGCGCGGACAACTCATTGCGAACATAAGCTGTGTCACCACATAGATGGCACTACACATTTTACATCGTACATACATATGTTTATATGTGTACATATATTGGATTTCGCAGGTTGCACAACATGTTGTGTACCACCTGTATTGTACCACGTTGCTTGCACCGCACAGTTTGCACCATTTAGTTTGCACCACACGTGTTGCATGATATCGTTACCACTGCACTTTTTACACCTATCATATTTCACTATGTAGGTTCAGCGTACTACCTAACGTACTAAAACACATTTGGGGGGTCCACGCTGGCTACCACTTGTTCTATGAAATTCTTGGATTCACAATACAGACGCATTCGGCACCAACTGCGAGCCCACCCCTGCAGGCTTGACCGGCGCGTCGGACGCCCATGTTGGGGTTCGCCCGACTGAAAGTATCCTTCGAAGTTTCAACCCTGGCCATCGTTCCAGATGTCTGGCTTGAAGGGGTACGGTCAAGACGTTGCAATAAGGACCATTCTGGATTCAGGAGGGGTTCCAGTCTTCGGGCCGCTCCAGGAGTCCAGGTCGGGGGATCGATCCGTGGCCGAGGTTGGCCGCGGCCGTCAGCAAACCTCCGTTTTTTTACTCACTGTTCCTTGAGGCAGCGCGATGGCTCCAGTGTTCACGTGTGGTTGTCGGTTGTCCAGCGCAGGTCGCCCGCAGGAGCGCGAGGTGTTTGCGCTTTGCGGTCTGGGCCAGGGGGGGAGGAGGAGGTGGGGGAAGGAGGAGGGAGGAGGAGGAGGAGGAGGAGGAGAGGAGGAGGGGGAGGAGGAGGAGAGGGGAGGAGGAGGAGAGGAGGAGGAGGGAGGAGGAGGAGGAGGAGGAGGAGGAGGAGGAGGCGGAGGAAAGGAGGAGGAGGAGGAGGAGGAGGGAGGAGGAGGAGGAGGGAGGAGGAGGAGGAGGAGGAGGAGGAGGAGGAGGAGGAGGAGGAGGAGGAGGAGGAGGAGGAGGAGGGAGGAGGAGGAGGAGGAGGAGGAGGAGGAGGAGGAGGAGGAGGAGGAAGAAGAAGAAGACGAAGACGAAGACGAAGACGAAGACGAAGACGAAGACGATGACGAAGACGAAGACGAAGACGAAGACGAAAAAGAAGTAAGAAAAAGAAGAAGAAGAAGAAGAAGAGGAGGAGGAAGAGGAGGAGGAGGTGGAGGAGGAGGAGAGAGGATGGAGGAGGGGAGGGAGGAGGGGAGGGGCAGCCGCGCCAGGGCGCGCGGATATAGGCCGCGCTCTCCGCGCGGCGCGGGGCGCGCGCGGTGGTCGGGTGGCCCTGGGTGTCGCGGGGCGGACTGGGCCGAAGCCTGAGGTTTGGATGGTGTCGCTGGCGACGGGCGGGGCACGGCAGGTGCCCCCGCGGGGGCACGAGGATGGCCGCGCTTCGCGCGTCGCGGTCTTGGCCAGCGCGGCTGCCCTTCTCCTCGGGGGGCGGCGCGGGGGCGCGAGGGTGCGAAGATGACCGTGCACCGCGGGGCGCGGGGCGCGAAATGAGGTGCCCTAGGGCAGAGGGTTGGAGGGTTACTTCGGTGGCCGGCGCTCGGGCCGAGGAATCGCAGCGTCGTGCGTCCGATCAGGAGTCACGGAACCCCTCGGGCGCATTCCTTTCGGCCTCCCGGGACTTTGTTTGGATGCGTTGGATCAAGCTCGCAACAGGAGCGCTATAAGCTGTCTCGCTCACTCCCACCCGCCCTCCCACAAGGTCAGCAGCACCAGAGACTCATCCTAGGCAGAGGTCGGCATCGGACGATCATCCATTGAGAGCCACCGCAGACGTCAGGCGTGCGACGCTCTCGAGGTGCGCCAAGCGTGCCAAGCGCGCATGGTGCGCCAGATGCACCACGTGCTTCACGTGTGCAAGGTGCGCAACCTGCTCCAGCCGCGCCCTTTGCGCGACGCGCACAGACTGCGCCAGTGCTCGTGACAGCACGCATCGGGCAATATATGTCGACCCCCCGACCTTCCGTGCAAAACCACTGCAGGGTGACGGGCGGCGGGGTGGCGAGCACGATTTCTAGTGCGCGTGTACGTTTCAATGAGCTCTCGATGTCTTATGGTGGGGCAGGTGCAGTGGGACAGTGCGCAGCGGACAAATGTGCCCGCACCCCCGCCAACTCTGTCAAAAAAACCTGTGGCGGGCGTCCTGCTCACGACCCAGATTTTCCCGCCGCGTGCTGTCTGTTTTGTTAGTTGGGCAGGGGCGGCTAGCGGGGCCGCGTGGTTCCTGCTTGCCTGCCGGTCGAGTGGGGGAGGGGGTGTGTATTAATTGGATGGGGAAGTGATGAACCCCTTCCCTAATGATGCAACGATCGCAGAACACAAATTTGGGCCAACTTTAACCCACATGCAGTCCTGAGGGATGGTCGGACCTCTTGGGATAATTCCAGAGCCCAACGAGGGGCACCTGGGATCATCCTGCAGGAGTATCTCTACTCGAATGCCTCGAATGGAAGGGTGAGGCCAGGTTGTAGGCATGCCCAATACTAGAAAGGGATATTCTATCATTTAGCGGTTTTTTAGAGGGAGGTGTTAATCTCCAGCAGAACACTCCTGCCATCCCCTCCTCCCTCCTCGCTTCTGGCGCCCCATCCTTCACGTCTCTATGGAGTGGCAATGCCAGAGACAAGGCCTAAAGCAGACCACGTGCCGTTTTCGAGCAAGCTCTTTCCGCACGATAAGTTCGCTTTTAAGCATCCGCGCGCTAGGACACCATGCAGGAGGAGGCGGAGCAGGAGGAGGAGGAGGAGGAGGAGGAGGAGGAGAAGCGTCAAGGGTCGTCAGGGGGTGGGGCAGAGCAGAAAAAATCATGCGTTATCTGTTCTGTGGAGCCATGGGAGACACATGCGGAGAGATGGGCGACGTGCAGAACAAACATATGCTCACGACAGCGAGAGATTAGCAAGAGGAGTGGGAACAACGGGTGCGATATTGAGCGGCACTGGGACTGCGCCGCTGCCCATGAGATAGTGCATGAGCAGCAGCGGCTCGGATGTCTCCGTTGGTGGAACTGCACACGGGGGCGCGGCATGTAGCATCGTCCGCAGGACTTCGCCGGCGTCAAGCAGGCGCACCAGGCAGCAGACCCCGTGGCCGACATACAGGACCTCCCCATCAGGGCATCCCCCTCTTGCGATTGCGTCTTCGGCGATGGGGCCAGGTCACCCGCGGCGGCACGAAGATGGTCGCGCTTCGCGCGTCGGGACCTGGGCTGGAGCGATTGCCCTTGGTGCGAAGGTGATCGCGCACCGCGGCGCGCGATGCGCGAAGTTCGGTGGCTTAGATTCAGGGGGGGAGCAAGAACAAGCATCCCAGCACCCCCAGCACCCCCAGCTGGCGTTTGCAGGGCAGCCTTGGGCGTCTACCAAACAGCCCTGCCTGTTTGACTCCCTCGTGCTTGGCATCGCTCGGACGTGTGCATTTTTTCCTCGGTGGGGACCATCGAGGAGCATCCTTGATCATTTGGCGAAAAAAACACGCACGAAACCGAAAAAGGCACAGGGAATGGACGTCCGAGCGATGGCGAGCGTGCGGGGCACCAGCTGCATGGCTTCGCGCGCAGGGGTGCTTACAGCCGGACCGCACGACAAGAAACACCCTATGTTCCGTCAGGGTTCCTCGGGTTCCTTTGGTTTCAATTACAGTCGGGGCCTTGACCTAAGGACCCCAAAATAAGGAACGAGGCCCCTTCTTTTCCATAAGTTAAACTTCGATTTCCGATCGAAAACCTAAGGAAAACCTGAGGCAAGCTGCGAAACACTTGAGGAACGCGGAGCCCCTCCCCAACGAAAAGGGTTCCTTCTTCAGGGCCCCGACTGTAGGCGTGGAAGGTTGTAGCATTCTCGAAGAAACTGCAGCTTGTAGGTGGGCGTCGGTGCGCTGCGGAGCGCGCGCCCGAACCTCCAACAAACTTCGGGGCATTTAGTGTACCTTTGGTTTCGTCGCCCGCCATTCGGGCTGTTCGTCCCACGTTGCCCAAGGTGATGTGTCGTTGCTGCCTGAGGTGCTGACTGAGTTCTCTTCGGGTACCGTGGGTGTTGTCCGGAGGTGTCTGTGCGCTGTCTCGGTGTTGCCTGCTGTATTACCTCAGTACACCTTAGGCGATGCTCAAGAAAACCCAAGTTTTCGGCCAGAGTCTCGATTATTCTTAATGTTTCAATGTAAATCCCAAGATTTGAATAGACATTCTGGGTTTTTTATTCAAGTTCTGAGACTATGAATTTCTTAACCCATGATTTCTAAAGCATTTCGCAGGGTGTACTGTTTGGGATGTCTGGTTGTTGTCTGAGGTTGGTTACCCGTACTGTTTGGGATGTTTGGTTGTATGGCTCACGCGAGGGCGCGCACGCGCGTGCGCGTTCTCGCGTGCGCAATACAAAAATCACTAGGGACCGACAAGATTAACATCGAAAGCTGAGTGGTGAACCCTCATTGGTCGTTTCTCTTGCAGTCTGGAACCCAACATGAAATCGAGTATTGTAGGAATACACGTTCTCATTGCACGCGCAATCCAACACTCAAGTGGCAATTGCCAACTTCATTTCGCACACTGCAAAGAGCAAACCAGTTGTTTCACTGGTGTTCTGGAACCCAACGTGGTAGATCATATTGTAAGATGACATGTATTTCTCATTGCGCGCGCATTCGCACGCGCGATACGAAGGTCAATAGCGAATGGCCAAACTATTTCGAAAGCTGAATACTGAAAACTAAGTGTTTCACTCATTCTCAAGGCCTCAACATCATGTTGGGCATTGTGGCCAAATAGGCTTTTCGCGTGCGCGCGCACGCGCGCGCGTCGGCAATACGACACGTTTGTTTTGGTGTCACGATAAGCCATATGATGTTGAGGTCCAGGGTACACCGTTGATCTCCGAAGGTGAGTTCCTATTCCCCATTCATCTTTTTACTGCGCACGTGAGAACGCGCGCGCGTACGCGCGCGTTAAGAAAATATGTTGTCATACAGTATGTTTTATCGTATTGATTTCCAGAATGCAAGTGAAACAAATAGTTTTCACCACTTAGCTTTCGAAATTGGACTAACTATTGCCAGTCTGATGTTGCATTGCGCACGGGCGCGCAACAGGAAAACAGCATTGTGACACAGTTCATCATATCATGTTGACCCCTAAAATACGAATGAACTAATTTGTTTCTACCATTCAGCTTTCGAAGTTAAATTGGTGATTTTCTATTGAGTTTCTTTTGGTTTTCGCATGGTTCACCCCTCTGGCTGTTGTCTGGTTGCTGCCTGAAGTGTTGGATCGGCGATTGCATTTACTTTTCTTCGTGTTGGTCCGAGGGGGTTCGGGTACAGTGCGATGCCTGCCTGCTTGCTTGCTGAATCGCAGGGGCTCGTGCTTGAGATCCGTTTTGCTTGTTTGTTTTCCTGAGCCTCCTCGAGGGCCCGATGGCTCGATTCGAATAGCCTCCTGATTTTCCCAAGTACCCTCCTCTGTCTTGTCGCCTCCCTGGTGCTGCCCATCTATCCGTGGGCGCCCACCAGCCTGGCGAGGAGGCGCCGGCGCAGTTCGGGGCGCATGCCCAGATGTCCATAATACTTCGGCTTTCCTCGCTCAACGGCTCGTCATCTTTCTGTCTGTGCAAGGCCTGAGGCTTGTATTTTCGATCGCCGTGGGCTTCTTGGTGACACACTGCCCTACGCAAGCGATAATGGAACCGCTCGGGTCAGGTTGCCTGGGGTTTCCTCGCTTCCAGCCGACATGCAAGAAACCCAACCCCGGACCAAGCAGCCTCGGCGAATCGTCTGGGTTGGGTTTCCTGCCAGGGGGTTCTTGGGGATTCGTATCCCATGCCTTCCGCGGATGGCGTTCCTGACCTCTGTAGACTGGGAGCATCGTCAGGAGGAGGTAGGCTCAGGGGGTGATGCGTCGACTTCCACTCGACCATTGATCGCCGACGGGGGCCCCACAGCCAACCCCTCCCAGGAAGGTGCGGTCTCGCTACTGGGGGCCCATCGCCCATCGCGAACCGATCGGGGCGATGTATCGCCAATTCCAGCACGATGTCTCCCCCCATAAGCCGTCCCATTTGTAGACTGGGGCGGCCTCTCCTTTAATCTTCGATCTCCTCATCCTCTTCCTCCTCTTCTTCCTTTCTTCTCCTCCTCCTCACCCATACTCCTCTTCCCCTCACCTCCTCCTCTTCCTCCTCATCATCATCACCATCACCATCCCCATCACCATCATCACCATCACCATCACCATTACCACCACCACCATCACCATCATCATCAGCAACAGCACCACCACCATCACCATCACCATCACCATCACCATCACCATCACCATCATCATCATCATCATCATCATCATCATCATCATCATCATCATCATCATCATCATCATTATCATCATCATCATCATCATCATCATCATCAGCATATCAGCCCCGCGACTCATGCCTGAACCCCCCCAACCCCCTGGCCGGATTTCTTTTCTTTCCGCGGGGGTCAACCTTCGCGGCGACCCGTTAAACCCAGGACCCTTGGCGGCGCACGGATTTCTTTGCTTCTTCCGCGCGCGAGTTGCCATTGGAACCCCTGAACCCCTTCCGACTACTGTGCAAGTAGTACTTGAGTACGACTGGTACTTTTATGTTCTAGCGCGCAGTTGCTCCTAGAGAGCACATTGTCCTGCCGTGCAAGTATTAGAGTGCAACTGGTATCATATCACAACTGGTAGAACTGTGCGCCCTCGTACAATTCCTTAGTACAAGTGCAACTCCCTAGTACCACTCCCTGGTACAATTCTCTAGCACAAATAGTACCAGTACAACTCTTTGGTGCAATTCCTGAGTGCTAGTACAACTCGCTAGTACAAGTCCCTAGTACAACTCCCAGGTACAACTCCCTAGTAATAACACAATTAATAGCACAGCCCCGTAGTGCAACCTAGTGATATAATGTAATAGTACAACTCCCTAGTGCATCTCCCTAGTACAACTCCTCAGTGCAACTCCGTAACGCAATTCCATTAGTGTAACTCCCCGTGTAGCTCCCTAGTACTAGTCCAACTCCCTAGTACAACTCCCAGTAGGACTCCCAGGACTCCCTGGCACAACTCCCTATTACTAGCACAACTCCCTAGTGCAACCACTATCAGAGTGTTGCTGCATTGCACTTACAATCTGGGCTCTCGCGCTTTTCCTCTGGTTGCGCTGGGGTGGGTGGGACCCCTCGCGCGGGCAACCCCGCGGCTGAGAATTCATTCCTCTTCCGGAATTTGAGGCGGGGGTAACCCCCGTGCTCGAACCCTTCGCCAGGATTGTTTCTTTCCTCCGCGGAAGCCGGACCCCCTGGGCCTCCTGGGCGCGCCCCAGAAGTTCTTTCCTTCTGGATGGGCCCCCATGGATCCTTCGTTGGAGTCGCGGTGCTGATATCATCATCATCATCATCATCAGCAGCACCATCATCATCATCATCATCATCATCATCATCATCATCATCATCATCATCATCATCATCATCATCATCATCTCATCATCATGATCGTCATAATCATCCTTACCATCCGAATCCTTATCATCATCATATCATCACCGTCATCAGCATCGTCATCATCATCACCATCACCATCACCAGCATCATCATCAGCAGCAGCATCATCATCATTATCATCATCATATCATCATCCACATCCTCATCCTCATCCTCTTTCTTCTCCTAGTGCTCTTCGCCAGAGGAGCAGACTGTTTTGATATTTCATGATACGTCCCAGTAATGGATAACGATGTAAGCAGCTTATCATTTGGCTATCTAGTTCGAATCAAACAGCTGCATAGGCACTGCAGTCGTGGCGTCCGCGCGGACTTCTTGGATCTGCGCTGGGCACCTTTGGTGCGCCTCTGGCGGCGCCTCCGTCGTCGTCGTCGTTGTCGTCGTCGTCGGAGCAGGAGGAGGAGGAAGGAGGAGGAGGAGGAGGAGGAGGAGGAGGAGGAGGAGGAAGAGGCCGAGGAGGGGGATCAGCAGCAGCAGCAGCAGGAGGCGCAGGAGGCGTAGGAGGAGCAGGAAGGAGGAGGGGGAGGGGGGAGGGAGGGAGGGGGGGCAGGGGAGGCAGCGGGGTGCAGGATTTCATCCAGCGGCACCAGGGCCAGGTCGCGCAGGGCGAGAGCTTCGGCTATGCGAGAGGCCTCGCGGTAGGTCCGCATCTGCGACGGCATGGCCACGGGGCTGGAGCCTGTCTGTCCTGCAGTCGACCCGCTCAGTGAGGATGAGCAACTTCTGCGAGCAGAGCCGCGCCCCGCTCGCAAGGTGTCGACATGGCCTTCCAAGGCCTTCCAAGGTATCGTGCGTCTGTATTATGAAACCGTTTCGCTCCGGCCCGTATTGTGCCATCGCAGGCGTTTGCTTGTGCGTTCGTGGCCTCTTGGAGGCCGTTTGGGGGCCTCTTGGGACATCTTTTTGGGCCTCTTGGGGGCCTCCTGGGGCCTCCAGGGGGTCTCCTGGGCTCGCTTGAGGGCCTCTTGCGGCCTCCTGGGGGCCTCTTGGGGCGGGAGGAAGCTCGAATTGGTGGCTCTCTTCATCGTGCGTCCTTACTCTACGAGTTGACCGGTTGACCGTGTCCTGCTGCATCCCATCTCTCCACTGCATTTCTCCCTTGCTCCCGGCCCTCCCTCCCCTCCCCTGGCGAGGGAGCGCCTTTCGCCTCCCCTCGCCCTCCCCGCCTCCTCCCCCTCGCCCTCCCCTCGCCCTCCCCGCCTCCTCCCCCTCGCCCTCCCCCTCGCCCTCCCCGCCTCCCCTCGCCCCTCCCCTCGCCCTCCCCGCCTCCTCCCCGTCGCCCTCCCCCTCGCCCTCCCCGCCTCCTCCCCCTCGCCCTCCCCGCCTCCCCTTGCCCCTCCCCTCGCCCCTCCCCGCTTCCTCCCCCCTTCGCCCTCCCTCGCCCTCCCCGCCTCCTCCCCCTCGCCCTCCCCTCGCCCCTCCCCGCCTCCCCTCGCCCCTCCCGCTTCCTCCCCCCCTCCCTCGCCCTCCCCCAGCCTCCTCCCCCGCCCTCCCCTCGCCCTCGTCGCCCGCCCCCTCGCCCTCCCCCTCGCCCTCCCCGCCTCCGCCCTTCCCGCTCTCTGCCCACAGCTCCCCCCCCCACACGGCCCGCCGCTCGACGGCGCAGCCCTGCGCCTCCACCCCCCCTCCTTGCGCCGCATCTTCGGGGGCCCTCGCCTGTCCCCCAAGCTTGGCGTCTTCTCCCGTGCCTCGACGCGGGCTCGATGCGGCCTCGACGCGGATCTGGCGTGTGGTTCGACGCGGTTTCGACACGGATTCGACACGGATCCGACGAGGCCGACATGGATTCGTCACAGATTCGACACGGACAGGGCCGCGGAGGGACAGACAAGGTCCCCCGAGGATGCAGCATGACCTTCCCATGTCGCCGCGCGCGGCAGGTCCGTGTCGCTCCGACGCGGCTGCGACCCCAGCACGGGCGTGCAAACTTGAACGCCGACGATGGCCCACCCTTCGGCAGCAAATCATGGGAGCCTTGTGTACCCTCGCAATTCCGTCTTTAGCGTCGACCAGCGTCGATTAGCGCCTGGGAGTCGATGAGATAGCGCCGATTTAGCGTCGGCCAGCGTCGATTAGCGTCGAGTTAGCGTCGATTCGCGTAGATTTAGCGTCGACTAGCGTCGATTCGCCAAAGCCGACAAGATGGTATGGGAGGCTCCCATGAGTTGCCACCGAACCACCCCATTCAGATCCACCGAAAGCACGCAGCCTGGGTTGGGTGCGATTCCCAAGAACGCCTGTTGGCCAAAAGCCAACCACGGCCCCTGTTGGGCAGGCGATTCTTTTTGTCTCAAGTGGACAGCACGCGCGGCGATACCGACAGCGAGCCTGTCCACAATGGGCAAAAGCTGTTGCTAATCTTCGTCCCCAGTCTTTCCCTAGGTAACCAAACTTCGCGCATCGCGCCCCGCGATGCGCCACGCGCGATCATCTTCTCGCCATCCGTGACATGTTGCCAATATATCGGCGACATATCGCCGATCCCAGTTCGATGTTCCCCCCCCTGAGCCCCCAACGCACGTCGCGCTTCCTTGGGAAGAGCTCTGGGTGTTTGCGCTTCCTCATCCCTGCCACTCCGAGCCTGACCAGCTACGGATGACAACACCGACATTCCTGCCTTCCTATCCCAACCGATCTCCAGGCATGCTGCGCGCAAGAGTCGGCAACTCCATACGCTTGGGACCATCCCGGGACCGCCAGAACGCCCTCGGCGAGGCGCCGCTGCTGGAGAGCATCCCGAGGGAGAGCAAAAAACGCCCAGGAACCAACGTAAACGTCCGCAATCCCCCAACGAGCCGCCCCCTCCGAACAACGATCTGGCCCCAGATAGGAGGAGGAGGAGGAGGAGGAGGAGGAGGAGGAGGAGGCTCGCCGGAGGCGCCTTAGATATGCCGGGGAAGGGGGCCCTTCGGCCCGCCGCCGCGAGCCGGGCTGGCCGCCCGGCGCCTGCGTTGTTCCCGCCCGTGGGCGGGGGCCCGTACGCGCAGGAGTCGGCAATTCCATGCCTCTCGGCGATGGGGTGGCCCTCCTCCTCCTCCTCCTCCCCTCCTCCTCCTCCTCCTCCTCCTCCCTCCTCTCCTCCCTCCTCCTCCCTCCTCCCTCCTCCCTCCTCCCTCCTCCCGTCTCCTCCTCCTCCCTCCTCCCCTCTCCTCCTCCTCCTCCTCCTCCTCCTCCTCCTCCTCCTGCTGTTCCTCCTCCTCCTTCTGCTCCTCCTCCTCCTCCTCCTCCTCCTCCTCCTCCTCCCTCCTCCTCCTCGTCCTGCCCCCCCTGCGCCTGCGCTGTTCTCGCCCCCCCGGGCGGGGGCCGGCGGGCTCCGCGCAGCCGTTCTACACCTGCGACTCGTCGAGCCACGGCAGCAGGAGAGCCGCCGTGGGGCGCTGCAGGGCCCAGGGGGGAGGCCGTCCCGAGGCTTGCCTGGGCCTTCCCAGGCCTGCCTTTTCTTCGGGGGCGGCAAAGAGGGGGGTGATGACTAGGGGGGGGATATCATGGCGGGGGCCATGATATTTCCCGGTGGGGCGTTGCGGAGCCCAGGAGGGAGGCCGCCGTACTTGGGCCTGCCTGGGCCTTCCCAGGCCTACCTTTAAGTTGGGCCTGTCCCTCTGCAGGGGGAGTACCCAAAAATAGTCAAAAATAGTCTGGGGACTATTTTTTGGGCATTGTCAGACCCTTTTGGAGTATGTTTTGAGTCTTTTGCAACTTTCGCCGAAAATCCCCCTGTGGGGGGACACGCCCGACTTGAGCCTACCTTTTGTCTGAGGCAAGCTATTGGGCCACGAGGGCCCGAGGCGTCAGGCAGCCTGGGCGCGAGCGCTCCAGACGGCCCAGGATGCCCGCAGGGGGGCCCGAGTGGACCTGTGGCGCAGCCCAACCTGGCTCCAGGGCTGCCCTGGAGGCTCCCGAGGCCCCGAGAGCGGTCCCAGGGAGCTCGCACGAGAGGCCAAGGGCATGGACTTCCCCTTCGGTCTTGCCAATGAGATATGAAGAAGTGTCGCCTTTTGGTCTTGAGAGCGCCCAAGACTGCCCCAGCGGCCCCCAGTGTGGGTCCCAGACGGCCCCAAGCGGCCCCGCGAGGGTCCCCAGCTTGGCCCCAGGACTGCCCAACAGGCGCCCTACGCGGCCCAAGAGGGCTCCGGGACGGCCCAGGAGGGCGCCAAGCTGGCTCCAGGGGGTCCCCACTGGGACCCCCACGACGGCCTCGAGGTGTTCCAGACGGCCAAGGAGCCCCAATCCGTAGCCATTTTGGCTCAAGCCATTCTGACTCATGCTGCCTGGTTCGTCGGGATCGGTTTAGGTCGCTGGCTCGAGGGGCACGGGCAAACAACTTGGGGTAATAAATGCGTTTGCACCGCGAACTTCGGCTGCACTCAATGTTGTGTCGGCATGTTGTTGGCAGTCAACGTTGGGGAGCCAGACGGTTTGGGAAGTCGCTCCCCGTCAGTGGTGGTTGCTTGCGCCCTCGGGAACGAGTATATTTCATCTCGGCACCTACACTTAGTGTGTACGAGAAGTCAACGCAAAGACAACATGCATTCGATGATGTTGCGTTGCTGAAGCTCTCTCCTAGTGTACGAGGGCTCGCTTTGCAAACAGCTACTAGGCAGATCCTGGCTGACATGTACCCGCATGCTGTCTTTGAGGATGCTGTTCCAGGATTGTGCGCGAATGGAGTGCCACGCTCACAGCACATGGCCGAATATGACTGGTTAATGGATGGACGGC